AGATTTATTAATCATGTCTTGCGCCATGAGCAAAATCTTTGCTGTTATCTGAGTAATTATTTCTGATTTCATTTTTCCCAGATCCTCCTTTGTTGCCAGTTCAGAGAGTCCAGGTAGTTGAATATCAGATGTTCCATCTCGTTTCCCTTTGTGGTTGGTGTAGGTGATCCAGAAGTCTGTTTTTGAGACTTGTTTACATGTTTTCTCATTTCCACGGGGTGGGGGGTGCTTCTGGTGCCCGCTTGGCTCACCTTCTCTGTCCTAGGAGCTTGGGATGGCAGTGGGGGAGCTTCCTTCTGGGTTCTGGGACTGGCTCAGCTTCTCTGTCCTAGGAGCCTGGGATGGAGGCTGGGAGCTTCCTTCTGGGTTCTGGGACCAGCTCGGCTTCTCTGTCCTAGGAGCCTGGGATGGAGGTGGGGAAGCTTCCTTCCGCGTTCTGGGACTGGCTCACCTTCTATCAACACATACTTTTTGAAGACATATCATTATGATCAGTTATGCCAAACATTTATTCTATGTGTAATATACACATTACCCACATTTAATGGCAAAAGAACAGTAATATATTAATCCAGCCACAGAAAATGTAAAATCTAGAATGTAGCAAGGTAAACTGGATAGTAATCAAAGAAAAAAAAAGACATAAGTTTCAGCTAAAAGCACAGCATATTAAGAGATACATGGGTAGCCACTTTCCTGGACATTATTCTAGATTCTGTCACACATTTAATAAGAAGCATAAGGTGTGCTATCTGTGCTTAGGGAAATAGCAGTTAATTGAAGAATGAGCTAAAAATAAAACAATAGCTTAGGCCGCCACTCTCCGGGATCCGGTTCCACCCTCTTTCTCCCTGCTGACCCTTCAGGGCTAGCGCTTGGGATCCCTTTCCCAGAGTGCCCTGTGCTGTGAAGAAGCGAGTGCTGGGGACTGGGGGCATTTTGTGTTGGTTGGAGCTGGAGTAACAAGATGGTGGCATCGGTGGAGTGACAGGGCTCTCCCCTGGCTGGAGTTGGTGGTAGTAGTGGCAGTGATATCGCCGCCCTAACTCACCGTGCCTTTATTCCAGCCCGCTATGTTGCTGTGAAAGCAAAGCAGCGGCTGCCTCCTGGAAACAAGTAGCCTCACCTAAGTAACAGTGAGAAATGCCTCACAGACTTCGGCCTGGCAAAAAAATAAAATAAAAATCTGACTTGAGCGACAGCAACCGCGGTTCCCTTGGCTGATTCTGGACCCTGCAACACCAGGGTCCTCTGTTTTTCAGTTCCTGTGCCCTCCTTCATAGCCGTGCTCAGTGGACGAGCCCCAGGCCCTTCGTCCTCCCCTCTAGAGTTGGGGCTTGGCCCCAGGCTCCATCTTCGTCTCCCAAGGATGGCGAGCAGCAGTGGCTCCAAGGCCGAATTCATTGTCAGAGGGAAATATAAACTGGTGCGGAAGATCGGGTCTGGCTCCTTCGGGAACATTTACCTGGTGATTAACATCACCAAGGGGGAGGAAGTGGCAGTGAAGCTAGAGTCTCAGAAGGCCAGGCATCCCCAGTTGCTGTACGAGAGCAAACTCTCTAAGATTCTTCAAGGTGAGGTCGGCATCCCCCACATAAGGTAGTATGGCCAGGAAAAAGATTATAATGTGCTAGTCATGGATCTTCTGGGACCCAGCCTTGAAGACCTCTTCAATTTCTGTTCAAGAAGGTTCACAATGAAAACTGTACTTATGTTAGCTGACCAGATGATCAGTAGAATTGAATATGTGCATACAAAGAATTTTATACACAGAGATATTAAGCCAGATAACTTCCTAATGGGCATTGGGCGTTACTGTAATAAGTTATTTCTTATTGATTTTGGTTTGGCCAAAAAGTACAGAGACAACAGGACAAGGCAACACATACCATACAGAGAAGATAAAAACCTCACTGGCACTGCCTGATATGCTAGCATCAATGCACATCTTGGTATTGAGCAGAGTCATTGAGATGCCATTAAAAAATAAAATAAAATAAAACAATAAGATAGCAATAGCATACCATAAAGAGATAAGAGAATGAACCCTAGTGAAGAATGGAAGGACAAAAAGAGAGAAGCAAAACAATATGGTGTCAATAGTCAGGGATGGCACCATAAAATGGAAGAGGATGTTTTATGAATCCTTAAAAGTCAAGGAGTGGGTACTAGATTATTTCAAGATAAAAAGCAAGGTTTAAGGCTATTCAGGTGAAGGGCTCTCCCATTTTGGAAAACTGGAAACTTGATCTGTAAAATTTTTACTTAACATCAGTGTTCTGATAGAGAAATTGGACTCTTTTGAATGGGACATGAAGAATAGGACATTATGTCTATAATTGTAGGTTCTATTGGTGGGAAGCCTCTTGTGTTTGAGAGTCATTGTGTTGCTGTTCAGAAAACATTGATTCAGGACTAGTTTTTTGCTAAGGTAGTCATGAGTCATTTGATGATGGGGGTATGTTTTGAGGAATGTATTGTTAGGCAATTTTGTCATTGTGTGAACATCATAGAGTATGCTTATGCAAACCAAGATAGCTACAATATCACTGGGTAATGTAATCTAATAGGATCACTGACCCAAATATGAGCTCCATTCCTGATGGAAATGTCATTATGTAGTGCATGACTATATGGTTCAGAATGCTACGATATTTTCAAGGTACACAGCAATGATATGGAAAAGTGAGCAAGTTCTGTGATCCATGCTATAACAGAGATAAATGCAGGAGGTTAAGGGAGCACAGAAGAGAAGTCACAAATCCAGTGTTGGGAAGCCAGGAAAAGTCTTGCAAAGGAAATCAGATCGTGAGATATGGAACATGAACAGGGCTTATCCAGGTAAGGGACTTGGGAGAGGAGTAAGCATATCCAGGCGGCATGAATACTTTGTGCAGCAAACCTACTTGGCTTAGTTTAACCCAGAGTTATTTCATTTGGCTGGAGTTTGAATGGAAGAGGCAAGGTTGGCAAATATACAAGGTGCTACAGGCAGATACAAGATGTAAAATGTTTTGAAGCTGTGTTGCAGAATTTAGACTTTATCTTGAGGACAGTGGTAAGCTAATGAATAATTTAAACTTAAGGTTAACATGAACGCATTTGCTTAGAAACTTCATCCAAGCTGCAGTGTGGAGAATGGATTGGATGGTGTGTGAATGGGTCAAAGCTAATGTTACTTACCTATGGGTACTTTTATATACCCACAAAATGAGAAAGAGAAAATTATGAGCAAATTCTGTCTCTTCTGTTGACGACCATTGCCTCTTGACCCAAGATTACAAACTTTGTCCATAGGGACATGACATTGTGATTCACAATATCCATGAGAGGATTTTTCTGATTCTACCTAGACACACAGATAGAATGGCTGCTCAAATGTCTGTCTGGTCAAATCCTACCCTGGAACTAAAAGGAAATCACTTTCTAACATATGTAACAATTGTGTAATTCATCACCAGAAATTGTAGAGGGAAAAATCACCAGGGAATTATGACTAATTGAATTTGAAATCTGTCAAAAAGTTTTGGTAAAGGTTTGTATTCAGTGAAAATGCATGACATAAGAAAATCATCATCCTGGCCATAGAACACCTTACTATTTTGACAAAATTAAAATGCTCTCTCAGGAAAGGCTCTACTGTTTCCTTGACCAATGTTTAGAATTTTAAGGTAAGGGAAAGACAAGAGGTACATGAGATAAGGTATTATGTCCACATTGTATATAGCATCTAGCTTATTTTCTGAGAGCTCCAAATTTCTTTTTTCTTTACTTTTCTATCTAAGACATTATAAAAGAAAAATTGATCTAATTTTATAAACTGCACTTCTAGTGAATTTTAAAAGTACTTGAAAATGAGATAATAAAATGGGACATCTGTGTATCCTTTATATCCTAAGATTCTGAAACAGTAAGCATTCCAGCAGCATTCCAGGTAATAGAATCTATGTGTGATTGCAGTTGTTCAATATGCATAATTAATTAAAAGTGCTGATTCTGATCATGATCATCATAGTGCCAGATATAAATACCATCTGGGGAGGATTGTCTTATAAGATGATAAGAATAACAATGTAAACACTGCAACACCATTCAAATTACAGAGTAAGGAAGCCATTCTGGAGTTTTTCTAAAAATAGAATTCTTGTACTTTTGAGATAGGAAATTAGAAGTGCTTGCTCTATCCAACAAATTTGACCACCCATCCCATTCCAAGTAGTAGCACTCACTTCCAAATTACTCCTCCCTGAAGATAAAAGTGGCCTTATTTGAGGAAAAAAAGGACATTGATATGCCGTCTATAATTTGGAGAAATAATCCTTTTTTCTTTTTTTTCCTTTCTTCTCTCTTTTGTGCAATTGTATAACTTTAATTGGATAAATAAACTAGTAGAAAAAATAAACATTAATAAAAAGGTCTAATAGGAAGACAAATACTACATGTTCTTGTTCTTATGTGAAAGTTTTAAATAGCTGATTTCATTAGTTGTGCTGCTAATAGCTAAACTTTGGGAGTTATCTGTATGTCCATCAACAGGTAAATGGATAAGAAAATGTATTTGTACACAAGAGTACTACTTTGTCATAATGGAGGATGAACTTGAGTCATTTGTAGGAAAATGCGTGCACCTTGAGACCATAATTTTTTTTTTTTGTACTGGGGATCGAACTTGGGACCTTGCACTTGCAAGGAAAGTGCTGGAACCACTGAACTAAATCCCCAGCCCGAGGGCCGGGGATTTAGCTCAGTGGTTCTGCCACCTGCCTCGCAAGTGCAAGGACCCGAGTTCGATCCCTGGTACCAAAAAAAAAAAAGAGACCATAATGTTAAGTGAAATAAATCAGACACAGAAGCTTAAAGATTGTGTGGTTTCTTTTATACATATGAGAAACCCAAAATATAAACAGAGAAAATACAGATTAGATAATAGGAAACAGGGAGATAGATCTTTTGAAAAAGGGAAAGGAACCAAAAGATGGAGACATGGGGGAGGGAGGAAAGGAGAAAGAGATAAAAATGAATTTAAAAAGCTGGGCATGGTGGCATATACCTGTAACCCCAGTACTTTGCTACCTGAGACAGGAGGATCACTGTGAGTTTGAGGTCAGCCCCGGTTACATAATGAGTTCAAGTCTAGCCTGAACTACACGGTGAGACCCTGTCTCAAACAAAACCAAAACAAAACATAACCAAAAACCAGGAACTCACCATGATGAATATAATCATTATGTACTGTAAACGTACTAATAAAACTTAAAATTTAAAAATAGCTAATTTCATAGACTAGTGAGTAGAATAAGTGGCCATTAGAGGACAAGAAGGGTAGGAAGGAGAGGGTAGAGAAAGAGGGTAGGTAATGGGTACCAAAATACTGTTACATAGGAGAAGTAAATTATAATGTTCTACAACACAATATGGTGGGTAAGACAGTTCACATTAATTTATTGTGTATTTTTCAAAGAATGAGAAGAGAGGCTGAGGTAGTTTGGATCTTGAATCTCTGAAAGGCTCATGTGTTAAAGGGTTGACCTCCAGGGTGGCCCTAATGAGAAGAGGTTGAATCTTCAAAAATAGGACCTAGGGGAAAGGTCTTTAAACGTCTTGGGGGAACTGTAGGATCCTTATCTTTCTCTGTGTCTATCTCCGTCTCTCTCTCCCTCCCCTGGCCACATGATGAATGATTTTACTCCACTCCGCTGTAAGTTTGTGCCATAATGTGCTGAAACTTCCAAAAGTGTGATCCCAAATAAATCTTTTCTCTTTATAAATTAAGTACTTATGTATTTCATTATGATGATGGAAAGCTCACTAACACAGAGTTCAGTTTGCAGAATGAAGAAATGATAAATATTTAAGGAAATGGAAATGCTAATTATGCCAGTTTTATTGTGACCTTATATACACGTATCAAATTATCAAAATGTACTTCAACATATGTACAAGTTTATATGTCAATAAAAATAAGAAGACCTAAGCTTAAAAAACAAATATTACACTTATACTATGTATGCTTCTTTAGAATGATATGTGGACTTAATCTTCTTTCAGAAAAAGAATATTTTAAGTTTCATTTTAAGAATTATGTCATTGTTTTGATCCATTACTTTTATATTCTTATCCCAATTTTATAGAACTATTTATAGTAACCCCCTTATCTATGAGGGGTACATTTCAAGACCCCCCAGTGGATGCCTGAAAATGCAGTATATGCTATGTTTTTTTCCTATACATACATACCTATAATAAAGTTTGATTTATAAATTAAGTACTGTAAAAGATTAATAACAAATAAAAAGAAAAATTACAAGAATGATCTGTAATAAAAAATTATGTAAATGTGGTCCCTCTCTTGAAAGAATCAGACAAATATCAGTATTAGCAGATATGGTTAATTGAAAATGTGGAGAGGGAAACTGTAGATAAGTAGCTACTAGAATAAGCAGGAAGAAGCATAAGGTTTTAAAGTAAAAAGAGTCAAAGAATTTAAGCCTGCTATTTAGACATGAGAAAAATTATTTTTTAGACAGTGTACCTACTGAAAAGTAATTTCATGGGGATATGAGTTGAAGCAGATATAGCTCTTCGGAGAACTTTACACTGATCCACATGAGAGATGGTGGTGGGACCTCAGGCTTACCGGAGATACATTTAGAGGGAGCACCCACAGAACATGCTTACAGGACAGAAGAGGGTAATCAGAGGAGGGTTTCCAGTATCTGATCAACTGGATGGAAGTGTTGCTACTTTAAGAGATGGGAAGATTTGTATTAGTTTTCTCATTGCTGGGACAAAGTATCTGACAACCACAACTCAAAGGCAAAGTGCATTTTGGTTCACCAGTTTAGAAATTTCAGTCCAGGGTAAGCTGGTTCTAATGCAGCAACATCATGGAATAAGAATGTGGTGGAAAAAACCTGCTCATTTCATGGCAGTGGGAAGCAAGAGTAGAGAAGTGCACCAGAGAGATGTGTC